GTCTAATAAATCCTTGCCTCTCCAAGTTGCTTTGGTCAAGGTGCTTCATCATAGCAATAGTAATGTTAAGCCTATCAATCTAGAATAACAACACTACTACCACCGTTTAAAGCCAAATTTGAAGCAAGCTTTAATCAAATACTGGCCAGGAGGATCAACTCTGGCCAGGTCCAAACCAAGGTTCCTGGGAAATGGCCTAGAATCATAGTTTATAGTGGTTTAAGAAGGAAAACCCGAAGGTCATTGGTGGCGCATGTCTTTAATCCTAGCATTCTGGAGGCAGAGGCAGGCTGATCTCTGTGAGTTTGAGGCCAGCCTGGTCTACAGACCTAGTTCCAGGACAGCTTCCAAAGCAATACAGAGAAACCCTGTTTTGGGGGGAAAAAAAAAAAAAGGAAGGAAGGAAAATGCATAATTAATTGCATTTCCCATCAGGTCCTATCAGGGGCAAGTGTACATCCTGATATACCTCCAGCCTGTGAAACTCCTACCTATAAGGGATCAAGCACATGAGTGCAGATGAGACAAACAAACTTATTTCAGCGAATGAGAAACATGTAGCTTGTTATCTCCTATTTAAAAAAAATGGCCTCCAGTATTAGGAACTACCTGTGTTAGCGGTCAGGCACACTTTGGCCCCGCCCTTTGGGGCCTGGCTTTGGGCATCACCCCTGCTCACATGGTAATCAGTACCCTGGCTCTGTACACAGCCCAGAAAGGTCCCTTTAAGAGACAAGCTCTCTCTTCCCGCTGTCCCTCTGAAGAGTCAGGCAGATTTTTGCCTCTCTCTCTCTCTCTCTCTCTCTCTCTCTCTCTCTCTCTCTCTCTCCTATTTCTTTCTCCCCTCTCTTCCTTCCCTTCCCCCACCCCCTTTCCTTCACCCAATAAAACTTCCCATGTAAATACTGCCTGCTTACTTAGTATTGTTGGTCAACCAACCTCGGATCCGACAAGCCCCCCTGTGTCCTTGAACAAGGGGCTTGCAGATCAGAGGCATTTTTGTTTCGCGGATCTCTTTAGGTATAGTAATTAAAAGTGAAAATGTAACTGTAGCACATAGCAATACCCCCCCCCCTTTTTTTTTTTTTTTTTTTTTTTTTTTCTTTGTTTTGTTTTTTGAGACCTAGCCCCAGGGGTCCTGGAACTCTCTCTAGGTAGACCACAATGGTCTTTAAGTCACAGAGATCTGCCCACCTCTGCCTCAGGGATTAAAGGTGAGTACCACCACACTCAACCAACAATCACTTACCTCATGTCATGTTTTCTATAACTCCAATCAGATCATAAATAAGACGTTGGAGGATGAATACAATCTTCACCCCTCCCATCCAAGTTAGCTCTTCACTTCTGTAAAGATACAATGGAGTTAAAAAACACTGTAATCCTATTTGTGTCTGGATTGAGATTTTCAGTTGGTGAGCAGGACAAACTGGTACGTCAGAGAGACAGTATACAAGGTTGAAAAACCACAGGTTTGGCCGGGCAGTGGTGGCGCAGGCCTTTAACCCCAGCACTCGGGAGGCAGAGTCAGGCAGGCAGATCTCTGTGAGTTCGAAGCCAGGCTGGTTTTCAGAGAGAGTGCACGGAGATGTTCCAAAGCTACACAGAGAAACCTTGCCTCGAAAAACAAAACAACTACATGTTTGCCAAACTCCACAGCTGGAGAACTGGAGTGGGGCAGAGGTGGCCCAGATACTTAATTTCTGCACAGTTCTCCAAATGACTGGGGGAACTTTGGGAATTTCTGAGTTATTTGTAAGTGAAATTTGGAGATACTTAGAATTTGCTTCAAAAAAAAAAAAAAAATTACAGGAGAGGGAATTGTAGATGAAAGCCAACTGGCCATAATTTGACTACTGTTGGAGTTGAATGAGAGGCATATGAATGATTATATTTCATTTTTAAAATAACACTTTTTTGTGCGTTGGTATTTTCCTGCATGTGTATCTGCGCAAGGCTGTTGGGTCCTCTGGAACTAGAGTTACAGATGATAACATGTGGGTGCTGGAAATTGAACCTGGGTCCTCTGGAAGAAGTGCTCTTAACCACTGAGCTATCTCTCCAGCCCCTATACTTAATTTTTTTGAGACAGGGTCTCACCACTCAGTTTAAGGTGCATTTAAACTCCCAATGCTCTCGAAACGCTGGGATTATGGGTAGGCATTGCCCTCTGATATTATTTCTTTTGAGTTTGTATATGTTCAGTTTCTTTTTCTGTGATAAAATACTTAAGAATTATGAAGGAAAATCAAAGGCCATTAAGCAGTCCAAACAGTTCAAATTCCCTTATATATTCTAATTTCTTAAATGTACATAGTTATATGTGTAAGGACTCAGGCATTATGCTGGCCTGCCCCTGTCACCTGGCAGAATGTACCCAGGCGGTATCCTGGTCAGCATGCAGGTGAAAAGGACCCGGTAAAAGAAAGACCCCACCCACTTATACTCTCTTTCTGCTCCCCAGCCGCACCCTCCACTATTCCCCTTCTCCCTCCCTCCCTCCCTCCCCCTTCTCTCCTTCCCTTCCTCCCTCCTTCTCTTCCACCTCCTCTTCTTTTATAGGATAGGTTGCTTTGTGTAGCCCTGGAACTCGATCTGTAGACCAGGCTGGTACCCAACTCAGAGATGCTCCTCCCTCTGCCTCCCAAGTGGAGTGCTGGGATTAAAGGTACGCAGTCACTTGTTCGTTTTAAGGCAGGATCTTACTATGTAGATCTGACTGACCTGGAACTCGTTTTGTACACCAGGATGGCCTGGAACTCACGGAGATCTTCCTGCCCTTGCCTCTGCCTCTGAGTGCTGGGATTAAAATCACATGCCACCGTGTGCGGCACCTAAACTCTTAAGAAAAAAGTGCAAATACAATGTAGATTGTTCGTGAGAACTTTGAAGGGAAAGTAAAGTATAACTTACCGTCTGTATTAGATTTAAAAGCACGGGGACATTTATATTTCAATCAGACACAATTTTTGAATGTAGTACTGCAGTGTAGGTGAAGAAGTTACTGACCACCACGCAAATTGTAGTCCTTTATTTTTGTCTGACAGCCTAAAGTGGGCTAGTGACTCAGAAAGTCTCTTGGTGCCAAAGCTCTTTGTGCAGTGTTGTTAAAGGCAAAAGGTCCCACAAATCAACTGTATCAATGTTAGATGAAGGTTAGAATAACTTGCAATATCTGTTTGGGTAGAACATAGTTATTTCATTCACAAAATGACAGTTAATTTTGATTTATACCCTTATTAGTTATTTTAGTTTATGTTTAGTTTCTACAAACATTGCTTAGTGTTTCTCTGAATGTTAATATAAAATTGTTTTGCTGAAGTTATTTTAAACACTTCCTGCCACTAGAAACGGGAGGGTAACGATTTTGTTGTCAGAGCACCTTTTTTGTTATTGTTGGTTTTTGTTTGTTTGTTTGTTTTTCGAGGCTGTCCTGGAACTAGCTCTTGTAGAGCAGGCTGGTCTGGAACTCACAAAGATCCGCCTCAGAGCACCATTTGTAACCCAAGCTGCGGAAACAAATGCTGGCCATAGGGACTTGCTTGTCTCGCTTTACTTCTGCTACCGGGTCTACGCCCCCCCTGCAGAAACTACGACTCCCAGAGTACCTTGCGGGTCTGTAACGCGTGCGCGCTGGACGGCGTCTTTAGGACCCGGATGGAAGCAAGATGGCGGGGCCCGCGGTGAGTACCTGCGTGAGTGGCCGCTGCCCTCTCTCCCTCGGGAAGGCTTGTCCACACGCGTTGAAGGCTTTTCTGCGTGCCGTTGCCCGCAGAGCGAGGCTGCCGGGGTCCCTGGGCTCCATCCAGCAGAAGGGCGGCCGTACGGTTGCGCCTTTCCTTTAGCTCACCCTCCGTGTGTGCCCCGCGCTGACCTTGCGGCTCCCGAGACGCCTCCGTGGTCCTTGCATCTGTTCATCAAACTTAAGACCCTCGGGGCGGTTTGATTTGGAACTGAATTCGCTGCCACGGGGCTCACCCTGCAGCAGTAGTTTGAGCCGAGGAAAGTTAATCGTGTCCCCCCCCCACAAATGTTTAATTTTGGACTTGTAATAGGAAGACGTGGGTGTGTGTCTCGTGCATGCCACCAGTCAAACAGTGGGCTACTAAAATAATAATATTAGACTTCTCTCGGCCTTTGTTCCTAATCAGATGTCTGAAAGACACAGAATGCAAGGGAAAGTGGCTTGCAACCACTCAACTGCTCGCTGAATGAACCCCGGGTTAGCAAGACTCACAGTTGTGACAGGTGTCAGGGGTCAGCCTGCCGAGCTAGCACCGGCATAGGTAGCCGGTAAGACAAATTGAAAATAGGGGTACAGTAACTAAGATTTATTTACAACATCTCGTGAAAATTGTGGCTCTTTCCTTCAGTTCACCGGTTTAATTAACGACTTGCCTCAGGTTTTCCAGTTTGTAAGTGAGCAACACTTTGGAAGCGAGTCCTTTACATTTTCATGATTCAACATAAATATGCTTCGACGTGTCTTTAGATGCTGTGTGACGGTACCTTGAAATGACGACAAGAGCCCTTTGTTTAAAACCTGTAAAATGGTGACATTGATGTGTTCCTCTTAAAATTTTCATGGACCAAAGATAGGTCTTTTTGACTCTTTCATTTCATCAGAAACAGTATTACTTCGGTGATACGGTCTTAGGTGTGGTACTTGGATGTTAGTGCACAGATGCACTAATGTTTGAGGAGTACGCACTGTATTATGTGTGATAGAGTTTCTAAGTAATTAGATTTTTATTGAGTGCTCAACTGAAACAAACTGCACTGAGCGTTGAGAAGGTTGCATTTAAGTGAAATGATGGTAGATGTAGGTGTTGGGTTTAGTTTCTTATTTTTTTGATGTTGCTCTTTGTCCCCTTGTTGTATTGTGTGAAACTGCACGGTTGAAAAGCCTTGTTTTCCAATGACTGGTGCTAATGTGTGCTTTTCCTTTATCTCTAAAGCAGGAATGAAAATCTGGGTGCCTAGAAACAGATTTTAGAAGTGGTTTCTCCTCACAGTATCTTTTTTCAAAACACCCGATGAGGACCATGGCAATGGCAGTAAGATGGGTGATATCGAACAGAACTATCTGGAAACAATTATTTCCAATCCAAAGTAAGTGAGGCTATTTTTTTTAATGCTTAAAAGAGTTTTATGCTTTTTAAAGTATGGTATATTTACAGCATTTGTTCATTCGGCATTCCTGTTGTTTGCAACAATAAAAAGGGGACAGAATTTAAATGTCAGTCAAAAGGAGAGTGAATAGATTATGTTGCATCTTAACTCTGAATTATCACACAGCTCTTACCAGTATGGACCGATCACCAAATAGAGAAAAAAAAACAAAAACAAAAAACCATGATGTATGTGAGAATGATCCTGTTGTGGGCTTAAAAGATGATTCTGTGTGTGTGTGTGTGTGTGTGTGTGTGTGTGTGTGTGCATGCATGCATAAATGCCAAATAAAAGATCTAGGGTAATCATTGGCTGTCATTAAACCACAAGTAGGATTTAAGTGAGCTGGTAGAGGGTAACTTCCCTTTCAGGAGGAACATTTATACTTGGTGTATTTTACATCTGTTATTTATTTATTTTTAGTAGTTCTCAAGATTTGGAAATAAAAAACAAATTCACAGTGCCATCTCCCAGGGATAATCATTGTTAATATTGTGGGAAGTTTTCTTCCCTTCCGAATATAGCCACTGAACAAATTAACATGCTTCCTTTCTAAAGATCCTCTCCAAAGTCTGTTAATAATGCATACTTGTTAACCTGTTGACTCAAAAACAATAAAATGTAAAAACCCCGTTTCTCACAGCAAGCTGCTTTCATCCCCTGTACTCCCCCCTCCCCCAGCAATAAATACGTAATTTTGGGGCATCTGAACAAGACAAACCTGTGTTCAGTAAGTTTTTTAAACAGTGTTCAGGTTTGCCAAATCCCACTTTTATAGGAAGCCTTCTGTCCCTCACCCCTTGCTCGCCTACTCCTCATTTTAGGGCTGATTTATCACATTCTATCTACAATAAAAGTCAAAACCAGACACATTTAATTTTTGATTAAGCTTTTACTGTAGTGAGTTGAGCATGGTGGCATAAGCCTTTAATTCTAGCACTCAGGAGGTAGAGACAGGTGGATCTCTGAGTTTGAGATTAATCTGGACTATATAGTGAGTTCCAGGACAGCCAGGGCTATATAGAGAGACCCTGTCTCAAAACAACAAAAATTACTGTAATGAGATGGGCAAGATCACATAGGCCTATAATTCCAAGAATTTGAGAGGTAGAATCAGATGAATCTGTGAATTCAAGGCTAATCTGATGTGTATAGTGAGTTTTAGGCCAGCCACGGCTACATAATGAGACTCTGTCTAAAAAATAATAATAATAAAAAACAATAAAATTGATGTAATATTTTTTTACTTTCTATTAATTTTCAAGTCAACATAAAATAATCAGTTTCATTATGGCATTTTTGGGCATACATAGTCCTTGTGACTTACTCATTCACCCCATTTTTCCTCGCCTTCGCTGGTTCTGTTCCTCTCCCTGTAATTAAATGTTTCCTGTCCTATAGCCGTTCAGTCACAAATAACCATCCTGAGAATTAATATTACTTATAAATGCTCAGCCAATAGCTCAGTCTTATTACTAACTAGCTCTTACATTTCAGATTAATCCATATTCCTTATTTACACTCTTCCAGGTGGTAGTACCTTTATTAGCATGACACGTTCATCTCTTGCCTCCCTCAGAGTCTGGCTGGAGACTCCTGACTTTCCCCTTCTCCTTCCCTTCATCCTTAGTTTGGTTGCCCCACCAATACTTCCTACCTCTGAGTGACAAATCTTTACCGCGCACAAAAAGATTATTCCAGAGCATGTCCCTTTTGCTTTTGTGTTACGGATTTGTACATATATTTAAATCTAGATTTCCACACAAGATGTTCCTCCCCTCATTTTCCTTTCTTATTTCCTCCCTCCCTCCTCTTTAACCCTTTTGCTGTAACCCCATCTGCTTTCACATCATCTGGGAATAGGGTATAGTGATGCACACCTGTAATCCAGTACTCTGGAGGCAGAGGCAGGAATTTGGAGGTCAACCTGGCCTGCATACTGAAACCCTGTCTCAAAAACAAAACCCCCGAATCCCCAACTAGACTAGGCTGTCTGGGGTCTGCCTGTGCTCACTCCCCAGCGTGGGAATTACAGATGCACACTATTGTCCCTGACTTTTTATATGGGTGCTTGGGTTTTAACTCAGGTCATCATTCTTTACGATTTGGTGAACTAAACTATTTTTCTATGTGGGTTTTTGCAGGTGGAGCTTTATCTAGTGTTTGTCGTAAATCTACGTATTCTTCTCTCCCAGATGACTACAACTGGTGTGTATGAAACAGTTGGAAGTAGCAGTTGTAGCTGTACCTGAAATGATTTTTTTGTTTGCCTTTCTAATTAATCTTTAATTTTGTTTTTAAGATTGTGTCTTATTTATATGGATTAAATATGTGTCTGGATTATACACATTTCACATTTTAGATAAAATCTATTACTATTATGTTGCTGTGAAGGCTCATTTGCTGTAACAGAGTGGATCTTTTCTTCCTATAAGAACTAATTCGTTTTTATAATTGTACATTAGGGCTCATATCTATTAGGTTAGGTATTTATCTGTCTTTTGTTTAACTGTTGAATTCAGCACCATTTGTTTGGTACTTATTCAACTTAGTCATTATTCTAAGAACTAAGAATAGTATATGATGTGGTTTCTTTTTATTTATTTATTTTTGAGCAGAGTTGATGTATAGAAAATACAACCTATTTTCTTAAGTTATGTGTGTTTTATTGCAAGTTTTAGGAAGTAAAAGGTAAAGGAGAAGCAGCCCAGGCTAACCTCAAACTCACTGTGTAGCTGAGTCCACCCTTGGACTCTTCCCAGGGTTTAGCTATGTGCCACCATGCCCAGGGCTTTTGTATTTTCTTTCAAGTTTATTATGTGTATGGGTACTTTGTCTCCATGTGTGTATGTGCACCGTATATGTTCCTGGTGTCTGGGGAGGTCAGAATAGGGATCAGATCTCCTGGAACTGGAGTTACTGACTTGTAAGTGACCGTGTGGGTGCTGGGAACTGAACCAGGGTCCTTTGAAATAGCAACAAGCCTTCTCTTCAACCCATACTTTCTATCCCTCCGCCAAGACAGGGTTTCTCTGTCCTGGAACTAAATCTTGTCGATCAGGCTGATCTTGAACTCACAAAGATCCTCCTGCCTTGCCTTCCATGTGCTGGGATTAAAGTCGTGCGCCACCACCGCCTAGCTTAACCATATTTTCTTTTTTGATACTGGTTTTAATTGTACTTTTGTTGAATTCTAAGTAAAGTAGCACATGATGAATTAGACTGGGTTATGTTTTTTTTGAACCTGACCAGTTTGAGTGATGTCAGTGTATATATTATGCAGAACTCCCTGAAGCCAGCTGTCACCCCAGCACTTGGAAAGCTAAAGTAAGAGGATCGTGAGTTCAAGGCCAGCCTGGACTATCTAGTGAGACCTTGGCTCAAAACGGAGTGGAGGTGGTGGAGAGATGGTGGACCAGTGGTTAACAGTGCTGCTCTTGCAGACCTGGGTTTGGTTCCCAGCACCCACATGATGGATTAGAACTCATTCATATCTCCAGTTTCAGGAGATCTCATAGCCTCTTCTGACCTCTGAGGACACTGGGAACACATGTGGTGCATATAAATTTGTGCAGGCAAAACATTCAAACACATACAACATAGTAAATCTTAGAAAACTTTGAAAAAATCTTTTGGGCTGGACATGGTGCTGGACTTCTTTAAGCCCAGCACTGGAGAAGCAGATGTGGGTGAAGCTCTGTGAGTTCCAGGGTAGCCAGAGATACAAATAAGACTTTCCTTGTGTCAAAGAATGTGAAATTAATTAATATCAGAAATGTTACTGCAATTATGTGTAGAATTCAGCAATAAAACAATGATGAAATACAACTTACAGTCTCACCACTGTTTATTTTCTTACAGTAGTTAAGCTGAAATGTTCTGTATTGGTCTTAATTGTCACTCAGGTACTAGGTTTTCCAGTCAAGTGATCATGTTTCCTTTAGCATTTGTGATTAATTAATTTTACATTTAAATTTTGTTATTGTAGCATACAAGTATATTCAACATAGTCTCCTAATCTAAAATTAGCAACCTTAAGTAAATACATTTTTTATTGTGTATATTTGTGTGTGTGCATGTATGGGCCATGACATGCATGTCCGGGTTAGAGGACACATCTCTTTTCACCATGTGGGTCCTGGGGATCAAACTCAGGTTGGCAGTCTTGCCCACTGAGCCATTTCATCAGCCCAACCAGTTTGTAAACTTTGGGTTCTGTAGTGCATGAATCTCTTTCATCTTAAACATAAACCTAGTCAAATTAGACTCCTTAGATTCCATTGTAAGAATTGTCAGTTAACATTTTAACTGGTTAAAAAGTTCAGTAACTTTTCCCAGTGTTTTTCCTTTTCTCTCTAGAATACTAGTCTCTCTTAAGCTTAATTTTCTGTTTCTTTCTTTTTTTTTTTTTTTTTTTTTTTTTGGCGACAGGATTTCTTTGGAGCCTGTCCTGGAACTTGCTCAGTAGTTCAGGCTGGCCTCAGACTCACGGAGATCCACCTGCCTCTGCCTCGGCCTCTGCCTCTGCCTCTGCCTCTGCCTCTGCCTCTGCCTCGGCAGTGCTGGGAGTAGAGACATGAGCCCTATGTCTTGGCTTTTTTTGTTGTTTCTCAGGGTAGCCTTGGCTGTCTTGGAACTTGCTCTATAGATCAGGCTGGGCCTGCAATACTTCCTGGAGATCCTCCTGCCTCTTCCTCCTTTGTGCTGGGGTTAAGGATGTATGCTGTCCTGCCTGGCTTAAAGTAGTATCTTAAAACCCAGGGTTAAGGGCTGACGTGTTCTGGACAGCTTAGAAAACGTGATCAGAATGCCACAGCCTTGTTGTGATATGGAACTTGCACAGTGTGTTGACTTGCGTGGCAGATGGATAGCTATCATCTGTGGCTTTATAAAGTTATCAGAAGCACTTGCTTTGTTCTCTGATGTCATGTGCAGAGGAACCATACCCTGGGCTCACTTTGACCCAAGCTGCTTTTGCACACTGGTGCGTTTGTGTGGAGCCTCTACCAGTACCAGGGCTGTACGACCTTTTTGCCCTTCCCCTTGCTTAGCAGCCAGAGGCCTTGCTATCAGTGTGGCATTTGGGTTGATTTCTAATTAATTGTCTCATTAAGAGTAAAATTATTCCACCTGGTCATAATCTTAACAGGAGATAGGGTCAGGAGGATCAGGAGTTTTAGGTCATCCTTTGATACATAGTAAGTGCAAAACCATCCTGGGACACATGAAATTCTATCTCAAAACAAAAGTCATACTGTCAGATATGGTGGTATGTATCTGTTAGTCCATCACTTTGGAGGCAAGAGTATTGGCATGTGTTTTGAGGCCAGCATGGGCTACATAGTGAATTCCGTGACTACATGGACTAGAGTGAGACCTTACCTTATCTCAAGAAATTAAAACCCAAACCTAAAAGTACTCATGCTGCCTTGAATAGAGTCTAACTGTGTCTCTGAAACATTCCTTTCCAGCAAGGTAGAGCTCGCATTGACATCTGACGGCAGGACAATAGTGTGCTACCACCCTTCTGTGGACATCCCCTACGAACACACCAAAGTATGTAAGGAAGTTGTCTGATACCCTTTATTTGCTTTAGTTTTTTTCCTCTTAGTTTTCAATCTTCTTCTAAAGTTTCTTAGTGTACAAGGGAACTATTTAAGGGCAATAAGGACATCACCATTTTTCTGACCTAAGAAATTTGATAAAAACCTACCTGGTGGCAGAGACCTGTAACTCCCATCAGTTGGCCTGAAGCAGGAGGACATTAAATTCATTTTAGTGTGAGACCGTGTCTAAAATTCACAAAAAATTTTAAAGGTTTGGAAATACAGGAGATTGGTAGAGCACTCATCTAGTATTTGTGAGGCTTTGGGTTGAATTCCCGGTACCACACACATTCACATGCCTCCCTCCAAAATTAAACCAAAAAATACGTTTAATCTGATACTCACATATATCATGAAAGACTTGTATTTTAGAATATTCGTTTATAGCTTTTGTACTGTTGATTCTGGTCATCTGTTTAGTTTTAAGGTTCATTCATTTATATTTGTGTACATGTGCATGCCGTGATATTTGTGTAGGAGTTAGAGGATAACTTTTGGGAGTTGAAAAAACAACTCCCAGAACCACACGGTGGAAGGGGACAACTGACTTTCACACATGCACAAAATGCTCGCCAAACACTACATAAAAAAAATGTAACCGTAAAGTCACAGCTTTTCTGTCTCCCTTCATAGTTGTTTTGAATTTTTGTGTGTGCGTGTGCATGTGTGTGTGCGCTCGCACGTGCGCGCGTGTGTGTGCACACATGCCAGTCACGTGCAACCTAAGTAGAGGTGAGTTCACTTACTGTGAGTTCTGGGTGTCAAATTTAGGTTGCCGGGCTTGAGTGACAAGCACTTTTGTCATATGAACTGTTTTACTGGCCCTTGCAGTACATTAGTTTTAAAGATAGTACATAAAGTAATGGGTTTCATAATGATATTCAGTAGGCCGGAACCAGGCAGGCAGAAGAGGGTTACTGCGATTGTCTAAGGCACCAGTTCTCCCCCACAATAACAAGGGTGGCTGGAGCCCAAGGCTCGACAGGCAGTTCCAGCGAGCGAACTTTTTAGTACCTAATTGCAGTGGCCTTTGTGCAAGGTGTGGCTCTGAGTGAGTCTCTGTTAGTTCCTGCTATCAGATATAATCTGCTCATGAGAACTTCCTTAGCCCCTCCCACCCGGCTTTATTTGCATATATTTGCATACATTGTGTAGTTGAGGCTTAACACTTTAGTGATGGTTCCATTTTGATTCTGACAGCCTTTACAGCTCTGGTGCTACACTTGCTAGTCCCTTTCAAGGGACCGTTGTTTACAATGCCTGATACTCTGCTTTGTATAAAAGAGACGCTCTTTTAAGGCTGCTTTAACTGTCTAGGCAGTGCTTCTTTAATTATGCTTACGGCACTTGTGTGTTGCGTGGGGCCTTGAAGGAGATGTCAGTTACTACCGTTTACTGGCATCTTCATGAGTTTGCGGAACAGCAGGGCACACTGTACATTACCATTTGCTTGATCTGCCCAGCCCTTATGAGGTAGATGTTACTGCCGAGGGAGAAAGAGGTTTAGCTTGCCTGTGGCTATAGCGCACTACTAAGCAGAATCAGAGACCGAGCTACTGTTCTTAATCTCGTCATTATTCTTTCTTATTCTCTCCCTCCCATGTGGTGGTTATCCCATACCACTAAGAAGTGAGTGCTTTCCTAACAGCCCGTCTGTTTCTCTTACTCTTTTTGTTTGCTTTGAGACGGGGTCCCACTCTGTACTTGCCTATGAACACCAGGCTGGCTGCAACTCAGAGATCCCCCTGCCTCTGCCTCCTGGGTGCTGGGATTGCATGCATGCACCACTATGTGCAGTTTAGGAATGTTACTTTTCAATGACAGGTTGTCTTAGTTACTGTTATTGCTGTGAAAAGACACATGACCAAGGCAACTTAAAAAAGAAAGCTTGCTTACAGTTTCATAGCCTTAGTTTGTGATCATCATGGCAGGGAGCGTGGCAGTACTTAGGCAGTAGCTAAGAACTTATATTTACAAGCAGAGAAGGAGACTGGGCCTGGCATGGGCTTTGGAAACCTCCAGTGACACACCTCATCCAGCAAGACCACACCTACTCCTTCCTAAACAGTCCACCAACTGGGACTAAACAGTCCACCAACTGGGACTAAACATTCAAATACACGAGCCTATGAGGACCGTTCTTATTCAAACCACCATAGCGGCCTTTTATATATTTTTCACTGTTTTCCCCTTAATAATATGTATGGTAAACTGTCAGATTGCAAGTTAAAAAGTACTATGGATAAAAGAATAATAAGTACCTTAATACGGAGGGGAAAGAACCAAATTAAAACTTTTATTATTGGAAAAGAAACCTACAGGTGTGTGTGTGTGTGTGTGTGTGTGTGTGTGTGTGTGTGTGTGTGAGTGAGTGAGAGAGAGAGAGAGAGAGAGAGAGAGAGAGAGAGTAGAAGAGTGTTTCTAACTTTGAATAATATAACTAATAACTGAAAGTACTCTGGTAACTTACCCACCGTTAGGAAGTGTAGTGAATTGCTGAGTGTGGTTGTTAGTTCATCATAAAGCCAATCAGATCTGGCTTACATTTTTACACTTGTTTGTTCATTGCTTATTTTATAGCCTATCCCTCAACCAGATATTTTGCATAATAATGAAGAAACACATGAACAAGTGCTGAAAACCAAATTAGGAATAAAAAGCGACCAACTTGAGCAAGGACCTATGATAGAACAGCTCAGCAGGGTGTTCTTCACTACAAAGCACCGCTGGTACCCGCACGGACAGTAAGTGCCCATCCTCTCTCCAGCATCCTCTCTCCAGCTCCCACTGTGTGGCTCTCTTCCATTGATAACTTCTGCAGTGTTGCCATCTGTGGAAAAATTGGCACCAAGTATGCTATGGTGTACTCTTTAATCTACATATACTGAAGTTAAAATAACACTCTACTTTTCCTTTGTTTTAATGCAAGAGTAGAGTAGTCCTTATGTTTTTAAATTTTGCTTCCTGATAATAATTGATGTTATTCTCAGCCCTTTATCTACTTCCTTATTTTAAAGGTTTTTTTTTTTTTTTTACATTATGTGTATGAGTGATTTGTCTTATGTGTAAGTACATTACGTGTGTGTGGTTCCCGTGGAGGCCAGAGGATTACCCAGATCCCCTGGAGTGCGAGCCACCATGTGGGTGCTGGGAACCAAACCTGCACCCCCTTCCAGAGCAGCAGGCGCTCTGAACCTCTGAGCCACCTCCCCAGGCTCCCTTTATCTATTTCGAACAAATTCTGAATTATTACACAAGAGAAGTTGTGCTTGGACGTCTGACTGGTCAGTGTGTGTTGTCCCTGATTCCTTTAAAAACTACTGCTGCTGTTTTCAGTGCTCACAGTGAGGGGTTCATTAGCCTGTGTCTGACTGGCACTAGTTTCCGTTTTTATGATTGCTTTGAGTTAATCTCTTTTTGTGTGTGTGAGTGTGAGTGTGCGTGTGCGTGAGTGTGTGTGCGTGTGCGTGAGAGAGTGTGTGTGCGTGAGTGTGCATGAGTGTGTGCGTGAGTGTACGTGTGTGCGTGTTAGTATGCATGTGTGTGCGTGAGTGTACGTTGTGTGTGAGTATGCACGTGTGTGCGCGTGAGTGTATGTTGTGTGTGAGTGTGTGTGTGCGTGAGTATGCATGCGTGTGTGAGTGTGTGTGCGTGTGTGAGTGTACATGTGCGTGAGTGTGTGTGTGAGAGAGTGTGTGTGCGTGAGTGTACGTGTGTGCGTGTTAGTATGCATGTGTGTGCGCGTGAGTGTACGTTGTGTGCGCGTGAGTGTATGTTGTGTGTGTGTGTGTGTGTGTGTGTGTGTGTGTGTACGCGCGCGCATGGAGGCCAGAGGTCAGTGTTGAGTGCCTTCCTCAGTTACTCTTCCCCTTACTATCCCCCCACTCCTGTTATTTTTTATTTTTATTTTATGTGCATGAGTGCTTTGCTTACTTTTCATGTGTGCTGTGCCTTAGGAGGTGAGAGGAGAGGGGCATTGGATCCCCTGCAAATGGAGTTAGAGATGATGGTGAGCTACCGTAAGGTGCTGGGGCACAGTTCTTCTAGAACAGCCAGTGTTCTTAGCCCTTGAGCCATCACTCTGGCCCCTGTGGCCCCTGTCTTTGAGACACAGCTCATTGGTTACCTACGCTGGCTGGCCAGCGCGCCCTTGGGATGCTGTAGTCTCCGCCTCTTCAGTTCTAGGATGACAAGTGTCCACTGCCATACTGGCTGGCTTTTTAGAGGATGGAAGGCACTTTAATGATTGCGCCAGGTTCCTGGCCCGTCTGTCCGTCCATCCATTCATCTATCTCCCCTCCCCCCCCCTTTTTTTTAAAATTGAGACAGGATTTTATTATGTAGCCCTGGCTGTCCTGGGACTCACTCTGTAGAGTAGGCTGGCCTCAAACTCAGAAGTCCTCCTATTTCTGCTTCCCAAGTGCTGGGATTAAAGGTGTGCCCTTCCACAGCTTGGCTTCCTTCTTCTTTTCAAATATATTTTATTATATTTATTTGGTTATTTGTGTATTTGGGGTGGGGAGAGGCATGTTGCAATCAGAGGATAACTTGGGGAGTTGGTGATCACCTTCTATATGGGTCCCAAAGATCAAACTTGGGTCTCGAGGCTTGGTGGCAAGTGCTTTTATTCACTAAGCCATTTTGCCACTCTCCTTTTTAGATAAAAGCATGAATTTACTGTGTTTGTTGGGTTTTGTAGTGTTGTGAATTGAGCCCAGGGCCTTGTGAATGAGAGGCAGTCTTTGTACTCTGAACTACACTCCCATTGTCTTCCCCCACCCCTACCCCCAGTCAACTCCTTGTTTCTTTTCTTGCAATGCCCCTCACATGCTAAGCAGTGTGTTTCGCTGCTGAGCTATACTCCTAGCCCGGAGTCTTCTCTCATGTCTTTCTTCTTCCAAACCAACTGTAGAGTGTTCTTCGTTATTTATGTTGGCTTGTGTGGGCGAGCTCTGTTTTTACTCTCTTGTACAATTCAGCAACCACCTCTGAGCTGACACTTGCACAGGGTGTACCCTCAGAGCTCCTGAGTGTAGTCCTCAACTGCTCAGTGAGTGCTACATGATGAGACCCCTCCTTATTTGCAAGTTGTTAGAGTTGAGAGTGAAGACAGTGGAGTATAAATAATTAATAGTGTCAGTGAACCTTGAAAGATGGCTCAGAGGTGTATACAGGAAATGGTGACAACTTCCCAGACCAGAAGGTCTAGTATGTCAGATAAAATAGGGAAGAAATTCAGGTAGCTGATTTTCCATCCTGCTAGATCAGGGGATGAGGAACGTCGGGGGAGATAGGATGCCCTTGTGATGGAGGGTTTTGGGGGTACTGGCACCGTTCATGTGAATGGGAAGGTGAGGAAGATGAAGCCATTGTTAAGTACGTTGAGTCTGAAAGTGTGGTCATCGTGTGAGCACCTGCATGAACCTGTGAACCCTGGAGCTCTGTGAACTGTTTCAGACCCTGAATGCTGGGGTGACAGGCTAAAGCCCGTATGTCCGTGTCTCTTTTTCAAGGTAGAAATCAGAAGCTTTGGCCAACACAGTCTACATTTGTTTTAATGTAGAAGTGTCATAAGTAGTTTTTATTGTGTTTGAATAAGCAAGTTGTGGTAGGATAACCTATTTTAATATTCTTGTATTTATGTGCTGATCATATTCCCCCCCGGCTTCCTCCTAACTTCTAGTCTTTACATTCTTATTCCTTTTTATGTTTTAATCTCCTTTTTGATTTTTATTTCTCAGTACTCACATTATTTATGCATATTGTTAGATTTTTCACCTGTCTTTGTCACTGTTAAGTTAGAGTTCATGAAAACAAATTAAGAAGCCATCCCATGACTTTGTATCTTTAATCATACTGTATTCTCAGATGTGTGTCATGATTCATGGCCTTATTGCATCTCCTGTTTATCTTTTATTTTCAAATTAAAAAGTTGTTATTTTATCACTAGTGTTGTGTGCGTGTGTGTGTGCTTGCCACACCGATAGTGTGGATGGCAGAGGGCAGCTGTCAGTCTTCCTGCCGTGGCTCTGGGGATTGAACTCGGGTCCTCGGGCTTACACAGAAAGTGCCATCTCACCAGCCCTGGTTTTTGCTTATGTATCTAACTTTCTTACTTACTTACGTGAGGGGAGGTATGCAGGTGTGTAGAGAGGTTATTGGGAAGCTTTGGGTCTCAAGTGTCATTATCAGAAGCTGTCCATCTTTGTTTTGAGACAGGCTGGAGCTCCCAACTAGATTAGGCTGGTCAGCAAGCCCCAGGGCCTGACTGGTCTCCACCTCCCAGTGCTGGGATTGCAAGCATGTGCCATCGAAGTTGGTTCTGGGAATTGAGCTCAGGTCCTATGCTTGCCAGGCAGATACTTTCCTGACTGAGCTTCTTCCGAGTCTTTCATTTTTACCCATTCCCTAGAGACCTGAGTCTAGACCTCTTTTTGAACTTCCTTACTGCCTTTCATTACTTGTTTCGTTCCTGCACATTACAGATTGCTTTATTCTTTGTCAACATTGTTCATAGCCAAGTCACTGGTACTGTGACAAATCCCTGTCTGTATTCCTGGGAAGGCAAGGAGACTGACTGTTCAGAGAGCCTTAAAACCAAGCATGTTATCTAGATCTTACCTGTGTTTAATCTTATTTACTTATTTAATCTTATTGCTAGTAATTAACTTTTGACTACTGATTAATGCAATCTCCTAGTATATCTTTTCCCATCAGGATATCAAGGCACTTTGAATTGTAAGCAGACTTAAATTAGGCGGACTTGATGTCCCAGTACCTCTCTCAATAAAGAGCCCAGCAGAAGACCCTAGTTTGTATGCATAAAGAGAAGATCTAGCCTGGAGTCATTGTTCTTTCAGATCATGCACATATTTACTTAGTGTCTCTATGTTTACATACACACATACACATATAAATGAAATTGTATTGTTAGCGTTTGTGCATGGCGTATGTATGTGTAGGTTCCAAGGATGGAATTTGGGTTGTAGGCTTATGCAGCAGGTGCCTTTACTTACTGGTCTACCTTGTAGACCCCAACATGTGTTTTTTTGATTAATGTATACCATTCAGAAGTATTTTTTTTTTTTTTTTTTTTTTTTTTTTGGCTGGGCAGTGGTGGTGCATGTCTTTAATCCCAGCACTCAGGAGGCAGTGGCAGGCGGTTCACTGTGAGTTTGAGGCCAGCCTGGTCTACATAGTGAGTTCAAGGAACCAGAATAGGTTCCAAAGCTTCAGAGAAACCCTGTCTGGAACCCTCCCCCCCAAAAAAGGGAAATAAATAAAACAGTATTCATTTATAGACATTAAGGAAAAAATATATAGTACAATTTGTCAATATTTCAGTTTTGAAGGTCTAGCAATCAGAAGAATGGGACTCCTGTAGGTGAAAGTCATTTTGTCTGCCTATATGGCAGCCCTGTGCTGTGTCTGAATCTCCAATACAATCTTTCCTGAGAGAATGAATGCCTGCGCCAGAGCACCTGGGCCGGCTCCACCCTGCTGTTGTTTCCTCCTGGCCGCGTGTTCAAGCTGGTCAGTTGACATGTGGGTGGCCCTGACTCCGTTTTACTGTGGAGGTGTGTGTGTCTGCTTGACCATACGTGAGTCTTGAGATGTGCGGAGTCTTCTACCTTTGTTCTCGTCAAGGTTGTCTCAGAAATCCTGTTCTTTTATTTGTGTCTAAATTTTCAAGTCAGCTTGTCTCTGAAAAACTTACTTCCCTAAAATGCCTGCTGGGCATTGGTGGTGGCACAGGAATTTATTAGTTCCAGCACTAGGAAGGCAGAGGCAGGCTGATTGTGAGTTCAAGGCCAGCCTGGTCTACAGAGCAAGTTCCAGGGCAGCCAGTACTGTTAACACAGAGAAACTGTGTCACAGACCAATTTCAGGCTAGTTGATGCCTTACCTAACTGAATAGTTACATCTATAAAAATGGTACATTTTCCCATTTACTTAGGTCTCTAGAATTCTTTTCCTTTCCTTTTTCTTTCTTTCACCTCCCCTCTCTTCTCTCCTAACTCTCTTTTTTTGTTTCTTGTCTTTCGGGACAGGGTTTCTCTGTGTAGTCTTGGAGCCTGTCCCAACCCTCTCTTTACTCATACTTGCTTTATTTCAGATTCATTTTTTCCATTGTTGTTGCATATTTATCTAAATAAATAGTTACATTTATATATTCCTAAATATAAAAATAAAACATGCTCGGTCCATATGTACTTATATGTATGCGTTTTCAAGGCTGAGGTTTTTTTTTTTTGTTATGTTTTTAAGATTTGTTTATTACGTACACAGTGTTCTGTCTGCATGTTTACCTGTACACCAGAAGAAGGCACCAGATCTCATTGTAGACAGGAGCCACATGTGGTTGCTGGGACTAGAACTCGGGATCTGTGGAAGAGTAGCCAGTGCTCTTAACCTCTGAGCTCTTAACCCCTGAGCCATCCCTCCTTTTTTTAAAGACAGGTGTTGTATGTTCCCCAAAATAGCCTCATGCTCATCTTCCCACCCCAGCTTCCTGAGTACCACTGCACTCAGTTCTGAACTCTTGTAGGTTGCAGTGTATAAATTTATCCCCAATAAGTCCTTTCATTGTGATTGCTAACAGTATTGGATTTTAAATTTCAATCCTGAAGTCCGTTGTTTTTAGAAATACAAGTGTCTGCTGGACATAGTGGTGCATGCTATGTAGACCAGGCTGACCTCAAGCAGAGACCCCTTGCCTCTGTCTCTGCCTCTGCCCCCCGCCCCCGCGACCCCGCCCTCTGCCCCCTGCGCTCCCCCCGCCCCCAGCCTCTGCCTCCGCCTCCCAAGCGCTGGGATTAGAGCGGGCCTTCACTCTTGGCTCTGGAAGTTTTTTGAGCACTGACCTGTTGTGTGGTATTTTGTTTGTGTTCTGACAAATAAAGCTTGGAGTCAGAGGATGGAACTAGCCAGTACTTAACCATAGAGGTCTGAAGGTCTGCCCAGAGAGGGACAGGAAGTGATAAGGCGTTTGGGGGAGGACCTAGTACTTTTGGCTGGAGGAACAGAAAACAGGACGCAAGTGTGGCTGCTCCCTGCTTTTTTGACCTTTCAGATCTTTACCCCAATATCCGACTCCCGATTTGTAATTGACAGGTTAACTAGATTAATGGTTCACTGACCTGATTCCACCAGTGGAAGATTGTATGCCAAATTCAGTTTTAAGGGTCACAGTCAAAAATCACACAGTAAAATATTTCATAAAATTACCTTCAAACTTGGTGTATAATGTGCATATGGGATACAAATGAATTTTGTGTTTAGACATAACAAACACAAAACAGATAAAAGATAGTTCATGCTGTGTACTTCTGGTCCCATACTCTTTGGATAAGGGCTTCATCTTGCAGTAGATCAGGACTACAGGTACGGCTTCTCCAAAGCGTAGGAGAGAGCTGAGGCGTGCAGGTGTGAGCCTGCTGATTTCACGTGTCTGCACTTGGATTGGTTATTTCAGGCTGTGTATTTGTGATTGCCAAAGTGAGTAAGGTAGCTTTGGACATTCTAATTTTCATAGCCTGCATTCTTGGCTGTATTCTGCATTTTTCTGTAAACATTAACGAGTTCTTTCATACACTGGAATATGAGTTTTCAGTTGAAGAGACCTCTGTCCAGAGGAAAATAATTGCATTATAAATACATTTTTATTCTTTAAAGATAAGCATTCAGTTTTAACTCAAGACCAGTAATCCAGGTTATGAAATCGTCCTCAAGATCTAAAAGAATTTCCAAAATGTTTAGTTGATAGAAAATAGTTTTTGTAATGGAATTATTATTACTAAGAAATGTCTGAGAAGTGTGTAATAGCATATTTATAAAGTTTTATTGACTTTTTTCAAATAACTCTAATAAAAATAGCAAAATAACCACAAACATTTAAGATGTCTACCCAGAATACTAATTTATTGGAGTAATCTCACCTCTAATATTTTCTTCTTCTCAAGGTATCACAGACGTCGTAAGAAGCTGAATCCTCCCAAAGACAGGTGACTGTCCTTGATTTGTGAAGCATCAAGGAGAGTTTGTGTCTTATTTGTCAGCTGAGAAAATGCAAATGGTGTACTCGTTAAGATGTCATATAGGAAAATAATAAAAATACCCTTTCATATGTTTAAATGTGTATCTCATTGCTTTTATTCTGAATTTGAGATTCTTATTTAGAGAAGCCTGCTTGATCTTATGATTCTTTTGAAACATTAAAGTCTGCTTCTCTTATTTGTTTTGACTTTGAGACAGAGTCTCTAGTCCTGGCTGACTTTGATCTCTTTGTAGACCAGGCTGGCCTGAACTCACAGAGATCTACCTGCCTCAGCCTCCCCAGTGCTGGGATTAAAGGTGGGCCCACCACTGCCTGGCCAAAGGGGAATTAAGTGCTCTACATTTTTCTTTCTCTTTTTTTGTTTTTTGTTTGTCTTTTTGTTCTTTCCAAACAGGGTTTCTTTGTGTACGTCTGTCTGTCCTGGAACTAGCTCTATAGATCATTCTGGCCTGGTCCGACTTTGCCAGAAAGGAAGTCTAACCAATGGTGGTGTGATGGGAGATGTCATTCTGTATGTTTCTCATACTGGTTAATAATAAAGCACTGTTGGCCAATAGGAAAGGAAGATAGGAGGGACTAGGAGACAAGGAGGAAATAGGAAGTAGTAAGGAGGAGCCAAGATGGAGAGTCTGAAGAAAGCAGTATGCCGCCGGCTCCCCGGTAAGAGAAATACATAGATCAACTGAAATGGGTTAATAATTAAGGCAGAGCTAGCCTATAAGAAACAAGTAACCGGGCCAACAGCATTGTATCAAATATAGAGTCTCTGTGTGTTATTTGGGGCTGGTGTGGCAGCGGGACAAGACCGGGCGGCGGCAGGCAGAAAAACAGTACACGTTACAGTGGTGTCACATACCTTTAATCACAGCACTTGGGAGGCACAACCTGGCCTACAGAGTGAATTCTGGGATAGCCAAGGCTAAGGCTATACCGAGAAACTCTGCCTTGAAAAACATAAAAATAAAAAAGTCTGATACAAGCTAGTCAGATATACCCTGACAATGGACTCACACGCTGCTGGGGAAATTTGTCCTGAGTGGGAAGAAGTTACGGACAGAAGTAGTGTGTGTCATTATGGTGAGCAAATATATAGACGGTTATGTGAGGGCGAGAGACGTAAAGAGATCCCTGTCCTGTGGAGAGAGACAGATCTGTAGAGATGAAGGTGATGAGGATCAGGCTGAGGTAGCGGGCCTGCCTGTCATCAGGGGCCTTGCCATCAGATGTCAGGTTCTGGGCTGCTGCCAGGGGCTATGTCTGGATGTGTGTCCCCACTGCACCTGGGGATGACACCCATGGTTACTGGTACAGGGAAGACCACTGACAACTGAGGTCTGAGTCATAGTGTTGTCCAAAGGCCACCTCGTGATGCTGACCTGTGAGGCCTGTGTGGTCACCCAGAGACGCGGTGACATCAGCCCTGAGGGTCTGCCCAGGGCCATATCAGGGTCTGTGGCCCCAGTGCAGCCATAGTCCGCATGGATATCTGGGGCTCAGGTTACCTCCAAAGGTGGTACAGATGCCCAGAGTCTGGCCCGACACCTCAGGCCATGCTGCTGCCTGAGGATCCTGGGACCACGCAGATCAGGCCACCCAGGGCCATGCTGACTTCCAGGTCGAGCTGTGGCCAGAGACCATGTCTGGGTCTGTGGCCCTCCCTACCCCAGCACAGGGTCTGTGTTGAGGTATGTAGTTCATGTTGCCATTGGGGCCCATGTGACTGCTCGGCGTCTACTGCCACCTGGGACCTTGTTGGAGTTAAGGGTATATGACGCCACCTGAAAGGCCTAGTCCACCACCCAGGGCCATTGTGACATCCAGGCCCAACCTCCAGCTGATGGCCATGTCTGGGTCAATGGTCCTGCTGCAGCTTGGGTCTGTGTTAATGTCCGTTGTGAATCAAGTATTGAATTGTGTTGAACTGTGAGTTGATGTACAAGGCCCTCTCTGAAATGGTCCCACCCCCACCCCAACCCCCCCCCTGGGGAGAGCTGACCCTGCCCCTCACTGGCCCCAGGATAATGGACCCTGATGACACTGGCTTGGGAAAACAGGCGCCAGCCCTAATAGAAGAGTTGGACCCCCAGATTGGGAAAGATGGTTCCAACCCTCACCCTGACGTGGAGATTTTCACTGCCTCAGACTCCCAGTGACCCAGACTGACCAACTCAACAGCCCTCCAGGTACACATCCAGGGCATTCAGCTGACACACCCCAACAGTGCCCAGTCTGTGACCCACTGGAGCGTGTGAAGGTCCTGTAGAGCCGTGGCCAAATGGTTTACGTGGGCAACAGCAGGATGTCTGGAGCTTCCATGCGGGTCTAGTGTTGATGGTTTGCCAGAGGCCAGAAGCCTTGAACCTGATCAACAGCACTTTACATAGTGAACGTTTGCAAGGAAAGCTGTTTCCACAAAAGGGTATACTGTGAGATACACAGCAGCTCCCAGAGCCACCAAGATGAATGAAGAGGCCGTGGAGAGGCTAAGATGGGAGTGAAGTGTTTGCTTTTCCCTCTCCTTTGTTTTGTTTGTTTTCCCCCTGTTGGTTGTTTTTGTTTTTGGAGACAGAGTTTCTCTGAGTCACTGGCGCACGCCTTCAATCCTAGCACTCCGGAGGCAGAGACAGGTGGGTCTCTGAGAGTTCAAGGCCGGCCTGGTCTACAGAGAGTTCTAGGGCAACTAGGGTTACACAAAGAAACCATGTCTTGAATTCCCACCCCCAAATTATGTTGATTTATATTGAAATAATTTCAAGGATCAATATGTTATAAATGTGGAAGAATATAAGACTTGTGGGTCAAAACCATGTATGTTCCTGTGAGTCCAGGCTTGACTTGTAAAGAGTGAAGGACTCTAGACTGGCAGAAGTACGTAGTCACATGTCAGTGCTTTGGAGATTAGACTTCAGTGCACTGAAAATACAGATTGACGCGGCTGCTGCAGCTTCCGTTTTCATGCGTTGCTGATTCTGACTTCTAAATAAATAAAAGCCCATTCTCCCCTCGCTTCGCTGTATCAGGGACAGAGTCATTCCCCCCTCACCATCCTTCCTGTGAAAAACCAGGGCAGGGTTTCAGCGGGCCTTTCGGATCAGGATCCCACCCATGGGATCGCTCCTTTAAACCGAGCCAAGAACGAAGGGCTCAGTTCCCTGACCCGTGAGGTGGGTGGGTTGTGAAGCCTCAGCCCGCAGAACACATTCTTCATGAAAACCACCAGAGGGCACTGTGACACAGCGTTCAGCCTGAGCGCTTCGCTTCCCCTGCGGTGTGACTTTGAAGAACTTAAACTTGGCAGAAAATTTGAATATTCCTACTTGAGAACGGGGGTGGTTCAATAAATATCATCGCCAGGAGTCATCCTACTTAGTCTACCATTAAATATCGATGTAACTGCTAGTTGGGAGAAAACCTCCTTTTTAATTGGGCAACAGTAAAGGTCTGCAAGATCCAGGGTGATATCAGCAGGACGCCTTGTTTTTCCTAATGACGTAATTTTCTAACTGTGGATGTAATGCACTGTTGTTTTTAAAAACCGAGGCTAGATAGAAAATACTGACCCACTCAAAGATAGCATTAACTTAAAAAAATGTAATTAACAATTTTTAAAAATGTGTTTGTTGTGAGACCTTGTCTCACATCATAGCTTTCCGAGGCTGGCCTTGAACTCCAGTGATTCCCTGCTTCTCTTTCCCAGTGAAAGCAGCATGCACCACCATGCCGGCCAGTTAGGCATCTTCTGTGTGGTCTATACTTTTAACTGACCTTCACATTTGGGATGTATAGGGCTCCTTGTGCCTGACACTGCCTGGTATCTTCACCATCTGAAGGTAGTCTTGTAAAAGCAACTACCTTGGCACAGGGTTGATGTATGGGATTTGGGGTGGAGATGCACCTACAAAATTCCTGAAACAAGGCTTTTGAGATTGTGTGTTTGGCCTTTAAACTGCTTACTTTTGTGTCATTCCCGACTTTACCTGCCTGCAGCTAATCACTGAGTAACATTAAAGCTGAAGTATATTCATGTGCAAGATGTAAACAAGGCTTCCATATGTTCTAGAGACATCTTTAATTCCAAGTGTAGTTTTATTTTTATTTTTGTGTGCATACAGTTCCCATGGAAGATAGAGTGAGCAGCAGATCCCTTGGAGCCTGAGTCACGTGGGTGCTGGGAATTGAACCCTGGTCCTCTGGAACAGCAGAAGTGCTTTTAACCACTGAGCAATCTTTCCAGTCCTATTCACAAGTATTTTTAGAAAAAAAAAAAAGTGTTGGGTGGTGGTGGCCACACCTTTAATTCCAGCACATGGGAGGCAGAGGCAAGAAGATCTCTGTGAGTTCGAGGCCAGCCTGGTCTACTGAGTGGGTGAGTTCCAGGACAGCCAAGGCTGTTACACAGAGATACCCTGTTTCGAGAAAACAAACAAAAACATGAAAATAAAAAAAGAAGAAAAGGAAATAGGATGCCATGCCATTCCCCCTTCATTTTGGATAACTTATGGACCCTTTGGGGAGCTCTGGACCCTGGGAATATTTCCTAATTTTAGCTGTATAGGTTTGAGTTCCAGAAGATAAAATCAAATTGCTTATCACAGGTTCATGAACACTGTTAGTTAGCAAACTGTTTTATTTATTAAAGGCATAAATGAACAATCCCATTGCTTTCTTTAAAAAAAAATAGAAATTTAAAATAACTTTCTAATATAATTGCCAAAATCATTTACAAATAAACAAAACCAGGATTGCACCTGGTTTCATGCAGTGTTGAGAGGCAGAACCCACAGTTTGGTTAAGGAGGGTTGTTTCACAGAAAACCATTTTAAAATAAAATGTACATTTTAAAGGCAGAGTTTTCGGAGATGTGACAAGTGTATATCTATCCATATAATCATCACCTTAGTCAAGATAAACACTGTATCAGCGCCCAAAATTATGGCTGCCAATCACCCCTGACTTACAACCCTAAACAACCACCAATCTGCTTCCTGTCACTATCAATTAGAATTTTATACAACTAGAATTTCAGAGTATGTCCCAGTGACCTTCCTCCCGCCCTTCCCCCCGCCCCCCAGGTATGAAG